AAGGGCATTGCTAATTGCAGATATTTTGCAAGGATGCACCGATTGCCCTGTTCTCCTCGAGCAAATTGACATCAATGTTCAACCCAGAGCCCTACGGAATAATTCAATGCTGCGCCTGCCCATACAGCGAACTAATTATAGCATGTTTATCGCAATCGGTGGTTTACAGAGACTCTTCAATAGGGTATCCACACTATTTGACTCGCCAGCTGCTTCGCCGGAGGTATTTCTTTTTGACGTAGGACTACGTCTGTGATTTCTATATGGGAGGTACACTTTATGAAAACAGAAAATGGAGCATGTAACAAAATTACGAAAGATTTTGAACGTTAAATCTAAGACTTTATCATTCTTCAAAACGTCACTATTGAAAACTGCACAAATTTGCAACTGGTGCTATGATAATTTAAATTATCTCCGAAAAGCGATTTCCTGCGAAAAGCGATTCGCCTGCGAAAAGCGATTCCCTAACACAAATTTCAAAGTTGAATTCCATCCGGTCTCACCAAACGGTGTTTATTTAATCACCTCGTGGTGAGTAGTGGTGTTCTCCAGTACACAACGAAAGGCTCTTCGCAAGTAGCTAGCTATCATGGCTGCCCTCAACCGCTGATCGGAGTCAGTTCCAATCACCGTATGTGGTGGTGTCCGGTCTTCGGCATATCAGCAGCAGCAGCAGTGCTTTCGGCGCGTGGCGTTCAACATTGTTCTCCAGTACGCAACGAAAGGCTGCTTGCAAGCAGCGAGCTGCAGCCCACATGAGCATAGCATAGAAGGAGGACGAAGCCGCACCGCTATTGATCGGAATCAATAGCTCTTCGTAAGTAGCTGTAGATCATCTATGTCAAGCACGTCATACTAAAGAAAATAAACATAGAAAATCCCGCTCAAATTCCTATTCCTGCACCTAATACAAGCTCCTGCTGCAGTTAACAAATAAGATTTATTATATAAGACCACGTAGTCCTACGTCACCATTGCGTACAACCCCATAGGGCTGTCCCTTGTAATTTTTTTTCTACATAAGTTTATTTTGTCCAGCATTTTTTACGAGATGACTATTGACTTATTGATGTTTAGTTTTAATACTTTTCATGTTTAGTTTAGGTTACATCATTGGGGCCAACGACGCCTGTTGATGTTTAGTCATAAATATTAATAAATAAATTACCAGCGATCGATCGTAAGAGGAGGTGAATCGGCACACTACGAAGGGGCGGAAACTGGATTCGAACCCGACAGGACATCCCAGTAGAGGCAGACACAAGGGCTCATGGCGGCGGAGCCTAAACAAGGAAATAAAGGAAGTAGACAGGAAATCTATCACCCTACGTACCACTTAAGGTCCGTTTAGACTGTCTGATTTATTGGTCTGATTTTGATCGCCGCCATAATGAAAAATCTGCTTGATTTTACTTTCGACACACTTTGTCGAACCTCCTTGTTTGTTGGCGTTCACACTGCTTGCACATGTCGAAAGAACTGTTAATTTAAATTTCAAAACAAAATTGTATCAGAAATCAAAAGTAAATACTTCCGCACAGGCGCATTTCCTTTTATTATTTTAAATAAAATGAGAAGGAGAAGGTAAACTTTGTGGAATCGGAAATGGTTGCTCAGGAGGAACACCGGCAGGGATCTGGCTCATCTTGTCCTTCAAGAATTGCGATATGAAGACGAAAAAGGATTTCAAAACTTCGCCAGGATGTGGATACCAACTTTCGACAAACTAGTGGGAAAAGTTCTCTATAAATCTACATGGTTCCTTGAGTTCTGAAAATTTATGTTAAGATCTCAATTCTGCATATTTCTCTGAAGACCTTCGGACCTTTCTGAAGTTTTGTTTCTGTTCTCTGGAAAAATATCTTTGAAGATTAAAAAAACCTTCCTGAAGATCTGCAAATTTCACGGTAGTTCTGCAGATTTCTTAGAAGTCCTGTGTGTTCTTCAGAAGTTCTGTAAAATTCTCTAAAAATCTACAAAGTTCCTGGCGCCATGCAGATTTAAGATCTTTAAACATCTCTGATGTTCACTTAATTTCTAATAATCTACGAACTCCTTCAGAGTTCCGTAATTTTCTCCGTAGATTTTCATGATTTAATAAATATCTGCAAGGAAGTTCTCTGAAGATCAATATTTTTTTCTGAAGTTGTGCAAATATCTCTAAAGATCAACCAGAGATTAACTAGCCTACGGCTAAAAATCTCCTAAATAAAGGAAGAAAATAAAATCTAAAGGTCAGCGAATTTCCCTGAACTTCTGTAAATTTCTCTTAAAATCCAAGAACCTCAATAACATTCTGAAAATTTATTTAAACATCTGCATATTTTTCAGTAGATTTGCTATCATCCTTCTAAACTTTTCTGAAGTTCCTTAAATGTCTTAAAATTTATGTAAAGTTGTATTTCTGCTCTGAAGATCTACGAACTGCCCTGAAGTTCAATAAATTTCTCAGTAGATCTCCGAACTTCTCTAAAGTTTTGTAAATTTCTTGGACTTCCATAAAATTCTGAAGGTTATACGTTCTGAAGTTCTAAAAACATCTCTTAAGGTCTAAGGATTTCTCTGAAGTTCTTCAGATCTATCTGTTTCCAACTTCCATGGAGTTATGCAGAATATTGGAATAATAAATGTCTCTGAAGATCTGCAAAATTCATTGAAGATCTACAGATTTCTCTTAATATCTACTCTTCTGAAGTTCTGCAAATACCGTTAAAGTTCTGTAAAGTTGTCTGATGCTCCGAAGTTTTATTCTCAAGACCTATTACCTTGAGACTCTTTAAATTTCTCAGTTGATCTGCAAACTTGTCTGAAGTTTTGTAAACTCCTCTGTACGGTCTCGGGCTACCCTGAAAATCTGAAAATTTCGCTGAAGATCTTCTAAATTACCTAAAGTTCTCCAAATTTATCTGAAACTAATTGAGCTTCATTAAAGTTTAAAATGTTTCTCTGAAGATCTACAAATTTTCCTTAAATCGTATGAATACTTTATTTAAAATCGCTGAACTTCCCTGAAGTTCCACTGAAGATTAATTAAAATTTCTGAGATTCTAAAAATGTATTAAATAATCACACTTTCTTGAAGGTCTTCAAATTTATCTGAAGATCTATGACCATTCTTGTTATTCTTTCAGAAATTCTGTACATTTTTTCAAAGTTCTACAGTTTTGTTCTGATGGTCGACGAACTTTTCTGATGTTCAATAATTTTTCAGTAGATCTCTAAACTTCTGTGAAATTCTTTACTTTTCACTGTAGATTTTTGGACTTGTCTGAAGTTCTGCGAATTTCCCTGGAGATTTGCAAAACTCCCCTTAAAGTTTTATAAATTGATCTGAAAATACCTAAGCTTATGAAGTGCTTTGAGTGTGTTGGTTTATTTCCTTAAATTCCGTTATGATTGCTTATCTGTTGACAGATACGCGTAAACGGCGCCGGTGGTGTAGTGGTAAGCGTGATTACCTCTCACCCCAGAAGGCCTGGGTTCAATCCCAGTCGGCGCCGCCGGGATGTTCTGAGGCATAACATCTCTGATCACGCCTTCCTTCGGATGGGAAGTAAAGCCGTTGGTCCCCGGTTCATGAGTTGATGGGTCGATAGGTAGGGTCCAGGTGTGGGAGCTGCCTTCCTGGCACGTCGGTAGCATTGGTGCTCAGCACGGAAAACAAGATCGACGGAAAAAACAAACCAAAGGAAAAAAAAAAAAAGACAGATACGCGTATTGCGTCTACTACTTTCAGACTTCAACAGTGCCAAGTACTCAACACCACTTGGCGTATTTGGCACTGATGAAGTCTGCAAGTAGAAGACGAAATACGCGTATCTGTCAAAAGATAAGCAATCATAACGGAATTTAAAGGAAATAAACCAACACACTCAAAGCTCTTCATAAAGAATTCCGTTAAGAGGTTCGACAAATTTAAAAGATTTACTTTAGCTTGCTTGAAGTTTTTGAAATTTGTTTCTTTCTGACATTGTGAATTTTTCTGAATTTCTGCAAATTTCTTTTAATTTCTGTAAAATTTTCTGAAGTTATAGTTGAAGATCTACGAACTACCCTGAAGTTCAACAAATTTCTCCGTAAATCTCCGAACCTCTCTGAAGCTCTTAAAATTTCTTAGTAGGCTCTCAGACCTGCCGTTTGGCATGCTTATTATTATATAATACATTATATAAACACTGTTTAGTTGAGCATGCCATGATCAAAGCCATTACGACATCTTTCTGCCAATCACACTGGCTATTTTACTGAATGAGTCGAATGAAAATTAAACACAAACCTATTTCGTTCGACAAATCAAACAACAAATCTAATCATCATGTCGAAAAAGTGTGACAAAATTATCGAACAGTCCGCTCGAATCAGACCAACAAATCAGATAGTCTAAACGTATCTTTAGAAGCGTTAGGGATCTTGGTAACTTTCTGTACACACTTAAATTTTGTTGCTGAGATTCCAACAGCCGAGTAGTTTTGCAATTTATTTTACTGTGAGATTCAGCTAACAAATTAGATTTTGGCGGAGATCTCAGCTAACAGATATTTTGCAGATATATCAGCAAAAGTAAATGCTGAGGTAATCGGTTGCTGGAGATTTGACCGAACTAGGTTGAGTGTGTAAGGTATGTGAATATTCATTTGATATTGGATTAGTTATTTTACATTTCTTATTCTCAATAAATAAGCATTAACCACTCTGTTAGACACCATTAATCCAACAAAGACAACCGATTCTGGTCTTGCCTCTCTCTCTCTCTCTCTCTATTCATACGACCCGTTATGTTTCCACCTTTCCGCCTCGCTAGAAAGGAGTTAATGCAAAAATCAAAATCTCGATAAAATGTATACAATTTGGTGTGGTAGTAAAACGCAATGCTGCATAAAACCAACGAAGCCACGTTCGGTAATTCGGACCGATCGTGTGGAACGAAACAAAAAAAACAGAGTAGAGTAGAGTCCAACAAAGCAAAGCACAACAAGATCGCAACCCGGTGTACTTACGTTGGCCAGGTCCTCGGACCCGCTGCTCATCTCGGCGGACACCTTGCTCAGCAGCCGGGCAAAGGTGACCTTCTTCTCCAGCTTGGGATCGGATATCTGACGCACCATTGAGGACACGGACAGCGAATGCTCGGAGAAGGTGGTTTCCTTAAGGTCCGACTCGGACTCGGCATGGTGGACCTTCAGCCGGTTTTCGGACAGCTGGATCAGCTCGCCGAGACTGACTTGCTGTTGTTTTCACAGGGAAGAATCAAACTGGGATCATTTGCGGATTAATCGATTTGATGGTACTAACCTTAGCTGCGGCATTCGGAGCTGGCGATACCAACTGCTGCAGTATCTGTTTCTTCTCGTTGACGTTCTTCTTCGTGGGGGTGGAATTGTTTCGCTTCTTCCTCGGCGATGGAGTTCCTGTAATGTCAAGATTCCATTAAAACCTTCACCCTAGACTAACTTCGATGAAAAGATAGAGTATTAAAGTATGAAAACGAAATGAAAAGTTATTAAAGATTGGTTCTAAGTAGGTTTAGAAAAGCTCACTAAAGCATGCCACTAATAGAGCGAGAGATAGAGCGGGAGAGCGACCGTTTGTCACTTTCCGACTGTTGTTGGAGAAAACTAAGACATCGATTGTTTGCTCTAGAATTACAGTACAGGGTAGTTTCGAGTATGTGTATGTGTGTGTGAAGCTGACAGGTCTGCGCTAGACCGAGTGTATCATTCTAGTTCCAGGTCTCCAGATTCGTCTCGGGGAAGATTGCAACCTACTGCTAATTGGGTCAAGCTAGTTCAAACTAAAAAAAAATAATGAAAAAATGAAAATCATTCCTGTGAAAGTGGGCGTGTCATTCGGAAAACATAATCAACGCAAGAGCTCAACGGCATTCGGCTGTGTGTCGTTATGCTGAGTGCATGAGTAAATGAATCAAAACCGAAGAAGAAATGGTACAAATGGTGAGAAAAGTGCATTTTTGCCTACCAGCAGCCACGTTAAATTTTGTAATTGTACAGACAAATTGCTTTCGTTTGTTCATTGTAGGGAATTGATTGTTGTTGGATTGCATCCTAGATTAATGATGAAGTACTTTTTTTTTAATTTTCACTGTGGGATGGTGGGGTTATACTGTCAGCTGTTTCACTACTGGTGGATTGATGAGGTTTGGAGGAGATGTATCTACCAATTGGACATCGACATTGCGGGATTTCAGAAGCAGTTTGGGGGAGGGTGACGAATAAGCGGTTTGATTGCTAGTTCAGGGCGACACTTTTGGTGTTTGTCGGAGACATCTAACCGAGTGGGCATTCACGAAAAGATGTTTTGACTGCTTTCCGGGTCCATAAACTCATGAATGGTCTCGAATCGTTTGTTCCACACGAAGATTTCCGTAAATGTTATTAGTGTGAATTATACAGTGGGACGATATTTAAAAAAAGTGGAACATGCCCATTTACGACGAAACTATTCAGTGTAGCATTACGATGTCTTCTAGAATGTTTTTTTTTAATTTTTTGTGTACTTTATTTGAGAAGTTAAATTTTTCGATTAAGGGGGATATACACTCAGATAAAAAATAACTTTCTTTATGTCTTGTTAAAATTGAGGAACATCTGTGTAAACATTGTAGATGAAGTCACTTTAAGATTTTTTCTCGAACACGACAATTTTTTATCTCTCAAATGGACAAAGTTATAGGGTGGAAATGGAGTACAAACGGTACCCATGTTACAATTCATGCTGAACATTAAGAACAGAAGCTGATTATTGGTTGATTTAAGGTGTACAAAGCTGATTAACAACAGGCTGAATATATAGGTGATCAGTAGTGCATGAAGCGAATTGTATCCCCATAAGCCAACCTCAATAAATTAGCTGATCTAAAGATTGAACAAGCCCTATTTAAGCTTAACACAACTCCACAAATCAGCAATGCGTTACACTTATTTTGATAGCTTGATTTGTTAAATGTCGTCAGTGTCTGTGTCACTCGTTGCATGTCCGGCATTTTATTTCTTCTAAATTCACTGCCTACCTTTCTAATTAAAAGCAGTGGCAGCAGTAGATACAAGGAAAAGGAGATTTTTTTAGGAATAGCTCCAGGTGGATGTGGGCTGCGACGACGTCGGAAGTATTAACATCTGTATTCCTGTGTTTTGTCTGTTATATTGCACTGAAGTTTCAGATCGCATTCCAAAACTATTACTCAACGTGCTTCAAGTTAATGATCATACCTTTTGCCACACATATGCTTAAATGGTCCAGTAGGTATGGTTGACGCCTGGGAATCAGCGACTGCCGGTTCGATTCTCGAAATGCATAGGTAATGTTTAGACTAATATTAACAATATTAATATGTAATTCCAAATAGTCAACAACAAGTTAAAGCAGGTTCAGGTAAATGCATAAGATATGAAGCGGTCTTCCATTATTATTTTTGAAATAAAACTAATAGGCTGAACAAGGGTTGGAAAAGACTGTTATTTAATGCTTTTAAAAGCTTATAATGAATATTATGGTTAAGCTTTTGGCTGATTAAAATAACCAGATTTAGATGTTTAAAAGCCGAACAAAGGTTAACGTGGTTTATGTGCAGCAATTATTTAATCTAAGGCTAAATTAAAATCGATTATACAACACTTGTTAAGCATCAAATTGTTACCTGGGTAGTACCATAGAGGTAACTCTAAGACTAATAGGTCCCGAAGAAACGTGCTCAACTTTTCGGCTCAGCTCTGGTACTCGCTTCAGTCCCAAGCTAGTAGATTCACCCCTCGAAACATAGGAAAATCCACTAACCCCTCATTTTATCTGTCAAACTTTCATAGCGAATCAAAACAAACAGAGTGTAGCACTAGAATTTTGACTAGAATGGGGTACGTTAATCGATTTGCTTGGGACCAATAGGCTAGTCAAGTAGTGAACCAATTTAAAATCGTTAGCTTCCACCGGTTGGTAGTACCCCCTTAAAACCGGTTTGTACCATAACTTTCTTGTTTCAATTTTCCAATTTTTTCAACGTTCTACAAAGTTGTAAGTGCTTGCAATGTACATTTTTGCTGAAAGAAGCAAATCGCTATCTCTTCGTTTAAGGATTTACATCCGCTGTTATAATTTTTTAACACATTCTTTAAGGGGGTTTATCTTGCAGCCTAGTAGGTATTAGCAACTAAATTCAACGTAATTTCGTTCAGCAATTACAATTCATTGGGACAATTGGGACCAAACACTGATTGTACGGCAATTTGAAGAGATAACTTCCTGATGTCTTTGAAGAAGTTGTTAACCCGAGTAGCACACTTTCATCACAATAAGTTACAGCAACTTGTTTATGACTGAAATAAGTCGTATATAAGTTTCTACAATTGATTTATGACAAGCGTGCTACTAGGGAAGTAGATAGTTGGCCACCTTTTGGGAAGAGACAGTTTCCGGTAGGACATAATACTGGTCCTGTGGAACATCCGGAACATCCGTAAAAGAGATCTATTAATAAAACTGATCCTAGAACTCCGCGGTTTTTTAGAAACCACTCGTAAACATCTTATCAGAATGAATCCGGAGTTTTGTTCGGAATATGGACTCTGGAGACTTCGGGATGGTTCACTGCAAGATCTGGAACATCCGTAAAAGTGGTCAATTCGTGAAACTGATCCTAGAGCTCCGTATTTTTTTTTTCAAAACCTCTCATAAACGTTGTATCAGAAAGAATTCGGAGTTGTGGTCAGAATATGGACCCTGAGGACCACTTACACATCGACTGAAAGATCCGGACCATCCTTAAAAGTGGTCAATTCATGAAACTGATCCTAGGGCTCTGCGGTTTTTTTTCGAAACCACTTATAGACGTCTTATCACAATAAATTCGAAGAAATGACCAGCAAATGGACCCTGAGGACTACGGGATGGTTCACTTAAAGTTCCGGAACATCCGTAAAAGTGGTAAATTCGTGAGACTGATCCTAGAACTCCACGATTTTTTTTAGAAACTACTCATAGACGTTTTATCACAATAAAATCGTAGTTTTGACCAGAAAATTTATTCTGGGGACCCCGGAATGGTTCACAAAAGGTCCGGAACATCCATTAAAGTGATAAAAGTTACCATGAAATTGATCCTAGAGCTGCGCGGTTTTTTGAAACCACTCATAAACTAATATGAATAATAACTCAGGCTATTAGATTTGATGAATTAAAACTATAAATATTAAAGATAGTCCTTCGTTAATTTGCAACTCCAAAGAAAGATCTCCAAGAAGTTATAAGAAAGAAAACCAAGAAATCCGAGGAATAAATTTCAAAAATTCCGTTAAAAGCGCTTAGAAGTTATTAAATTCTTAAATACCACCTAGAAATTATCCATCATAATAAATAGAAAAAGTTAGTAAGAGTTCTGAGATCAGTTTTCTTGAACTATCCATTTTAACGGATGTTCCGGATATTCCGGAGGACCATCCAATGGACATGGAGTCCATTTTCCAGTCACAGTTTATTCTGATGAGACGTCTATTATGTTCCAGAGGAGCATTCATGGTCTCTAGGGTCTATTTTCCGATCATAACTCGGAATTCATAATTATAAGGCGTGTATGAGAGTTTTCGGAAAAAATACGGAGTTGACCACTTGTACGAATGTTCCGGATCTTCCGGAGGGCCATCCACTGTACAATGGTCCCGAAGCCGGATTTAGGAAGACAAAAATGTTTGCGCCAAAGCCTTCAGTTTTTGATATATAGTGTCTTCGGGAAAGTTTCTTCATATTTTTTGGCCGATATTTTTTGCAAGTGAAATTAGGGTGCGCTGGTTACAAGGGTAAATTTTCTGGTCATAACTCCAAATTCATTCTGATAAGACGCCAACGAGTGGTTTTGAAAAAAAAACCGGACCTGTACGCTCAGTTTCAAGAACTGAGCAATTTAATGGATGTTCCGGATCTTCCTAGTGAACCATCTCGTGGTCTCAAGGGTCCATTTTCCGATCACAACTCCAGTTTTATTCTGCTGAGACGACTATGAGTGATTTCGAAAAATCAGTCGAGCTCTGGATCAGTTTCATGAATTTACCTCTTTTAGGGAAGATTTGGATCCTCTGGAGAGCCAATTCGTGGAATGAATGATCGATTTTCCGATCACAAATCCGAATTCATATTGATAAGATGTCAATGTTTCATGAATTGACCACTTTTACGGATGTTCCGGATCTTTCGATCGATGAGTAAGTGATCCCCAGGGTCCATCTTCCGATCACAACTCCGAATTCTTTCTATATTCTGGTCACATTCTGGTTTCAACAAATCCACGGAGCTCTAGGATCAGTTTCATGAATTTACCACTTTTACATAGTGTTCCGGATCTTTCGGTGGATCATCCTGTAATCCCCTGCGTCCATATTCCGGTCACAACTCCGAATTCATTCTG